AAAAAGCAATATAGTAGAAAAGAAACTGGTCAGTCTTTCAGTAGAAAGTTTACCTAATAGCTACATTCTCAACTGACATCTTTTTAGAATTAACTATCTTAAATGTATACAAGTCAGAAATCATTCTACTGAGCGGAAAATTTATTGGATGTTGCTCTAAATGAGTAAATATACAAGTTTTTTTTCACATGAAATAGTAAAACTTTCAATCAAAATAGTTCCTAAAAAATCTGTTAAAACTGTAAAATGCACTTTTCTTACATTAGTAACTAAAAGAAAAATAATAACTAAAGGAAAAATAATTATGAGGTACAAGTAGTTTATGGTACTGAAGTTTGGGACTTTGTTAGTCAATCTACACACAAACTAGGGCACATAACAATTAGTATCACCTTAGGGATAACTGACAAATATGTTAGCTCAATATTAAGAAATATCAAAGTAACAGTAGAATAATTTACAATAACACTTACATTTAACATTTTATGAGTTAATTATATTATACAATATTACATACTTTAAAATCAACTGCTTCTTGGTCAATTTCATTCATTTTTTTTTTAAATACAAATTAACAAATAACCATTGCACCTAGAAATTATATAAAATCCTTAGTTGAGAAACTAGTGTGAAACACGCCTGCATAAAATTATTTTATGTACTACCAGTCACTTAATTCAGTATTATTCAAAAATAGTTCTAATGCAAATATATAAACAATTTTGTATGTTTTATTTTTCTCTCCTCCCCTTTTCAACCAATGAGCGTAACTTCGTGTCTTTGTTTCAACATTCTTGTGCCACAGTTCTAAATCATAGGAACTTGGGAACGGGACCACAGATTGCAACGCATATTTTTGATCGTGTAATGGTTTTTAAAAATGTTCTTCCAACATCTAAATATCTTTTAGTATTATCTGAGTGTATGGCCTCAAAGAATATATCATCAATTGAACACAATCTGTTACTTTTAAAATTGGTCAAATTTTACGGTATTATAAAAAAAGACAATCTCCCTCCCATTGAAATGTGTGTATGTGCGTGTCTGCATGTGCACGTGTATACTATAACAGAGGCAATCTTCGTTGTAATAAATTAAGCCTGGAATACAACATGCTTTATTCCAGCATAGGCCATCTGTTGACTGGACATGTTAAATGAAAGCATTCAGCAGTTCATACATTAGTACAACAACAACAATTAACATAGTCACAAATTTAATTCTTTTAATAAAAACCTAGTGAATAAACATGAGTTTGTACTAATAAATTAGAAATATATGAATCTATGATGATTATGTAACAAATTATCAAAGCAAATCATGATTCCCTAAATATTACAGTTAAAGTACAAGAACAGGCCTATATTTGTGACACAAAAAGTTTTCTTTCCTTTCCAAAAGTATTTTTTGGAAAATCACAACACTTTTTTATATGTAAGTCAAGTCTGTTTTTTTTCTGTAAGATAATTTTTGTTAAATCTGATGAAAAAAACAGTGTATGATCACATTATTTGCTCTTTAAATTTTAAGGTAACTCTTGCAGTACTTACTGGTACTATAAAGCACATTTTGACAATGTGTGGTACATTTGAGTATTCTATAATGTTAACATGGAGCCTACAAGTAAACGAGTCACGGCAATAATTCCACTAGCCATAAGTGAAGCATACTGACTAAGGAATTGTTTTGTTTTGCTTTTGTTTTTTTTTTTAATTTTGTTCTTTATATTGTCATAGAATATTGTTTTTATAAAGGCAAAGCATTCTTGATGCCCATCCTAAATTACTAGAGTTGCCATAATTGTAACAAAAAAAATTGAGTTCATGCATAAGTAGTGGCCATGATTTCTGGCTTAAGATAGCTCCTTTTATTTCCTTAAGTTCCAAATAGGTAAAACAGTGCACTTCATACATAAACTGCTATTTCATGTCACTTATTAACCATCATAATAATGCATGTATATGCATGCTTTTTTCTTATTTTAAAGTACTACAGGATACAGGGTCAATGTCATTCTTTTAGTAAATTAAATGATTAAAATAGGTTCAAAATAACTCTCTTCCTATGCTCTATAACCCACACCCTGAATTTTTTTTATAACAGACTTGTCCCTGCTTGAGTTCGGAAAAGTCTATTACTTGTTTAGGGATATCTATATGAAAAATTAACCCTCATCCTACTGGAACCAAAAGTGATCAGCCTTTGCCACCAGCATAGAACCTGGCTAGCCTGCACATCCATGCAGTCTGACCAGGCTCTATGCTGTTGACTAAATAACTTATTATTTTCATCTTGATTTCCCCATTTGTATTATTGACAATTCCAAAAATGGAAGCTGGATAAGTTCATTAAAGAAAATCTTTCAAATTACGGGTTTCACACCCAACACAGGGTAGAGTTTAGTTAGACTGCATGGATGTGCAGGTTGGCCTGGCACTATCCCGGTGACATACACAAGCTGTTAAAGCTGCAAACATTATCAAAGGTTAAAGTTCAACACACTTAAGAAAATATTGTATTGAACTTTTTAAAGATGCCATTTGATATTCAGAAAAATATATTAAAGTTACTGATGACTACCTATAAAATTTAATCATCCATTCTAATTAATTTTATTAAATTCCATACAGCACCAATACCTTTATAAAAACAGAAAAAATGAATCAATAATATCCAGGTATCAATGCAATGCTGTTATTATGTGACTTGATTATCATTATCTAAACCCTTACTAAATGGACTTGTCCTGTTTAGAATTTGGAACTGTTCATTTTATATCTTAACGGGTATTAAAATAAAGAAACTAAAATCATGAAAATAGAAGAACAGATTGGTGAGACTGTAGATTAGACATATGTTCTCATGCAGAATGACCTGCAACTATAGTAGTGTTGGCATTAGCAAGTCACTGTCATTTAAAGATGCTGTAAGATGAAAAATTTGATCCCTCAGTATTTACAGACAATTATCCTTTTTGGCCATTTGTATTCCTGCCATGAAATCCATGTTTAGGAAATTTATCAGAAAATAGTAATATACATGTCCTAACAGCATTGCATTGAACTAAAATTGCTGTTCTAACATTATCTGTGCATTACTACATGGATATCTATTTTCATATAAAAATCCAAACTTGTCATGGTCATTATTTCATATATAGTTACATGATTAAAATTACGGAGTGAATGTCATTACAGTCTCAAGGAAATGTCAAGGTAAATTGTGTAGAAAATGTCATGGCTGCATTTGGAACATTGTCAATAACATAAATTGCAATGACAAAAGGTTTAGTTATTATAATTACTTGTTCAACTTGTGTCCGTCCATAAATGGTTACAAGTAATTCAGAAATTTACAAATGATGATGAACACATAAAAAATATTTTTTTCACTACTTTAGTATACTAGCAATCAATTTATAATAGCTATCAATTTTATAGTCACAAACATGTAAAATTAATATGACAGACCAAAAACTTGTATACCACCTTAAAACACAAAGAAAATACAAGTTTTGTTACCAATATACATATTGAGTATTACTTCATTTATCCAATCCATTAACAAAGAGGAAAAAAAACAACAATTTATATTGCAAATTTGTAATGATAATAGCACCATTACATAAATACTACTGCAATATGAATATTCTAACATTTTGTGACTTTTTGTTACCTTAGTAACGATTCACAGTACTTTATCAATAGCCACTTTTTTGTTCAGAAACAGTCTTAAATCTTCTTTCCTTAATCCTGACACTGCAAAAATCATGACTGCAAACACATTCCATACATGAGCTAGATTTATAGTCCCAAATAAAAGGAAATAAATAAAAAATAAAAATTTGTTGCAAAATAATTTTTGTCTGATTTAATAAGCTATGAAAACAAACTCAATAAAACTAAAACATAAATCTGTAAACAAAACTGTTGTTTAACTCTATAAATATATATATTTATAATTTTTGTGTTACTATTTCAACTAGCTTAAAATATTCAAATATCTAGCCATGCTCGCATATGGCCCATGCACGTGACCCTAATTATGACTACTGTCTGCCTGGAAAGTGTTGTCATGCACGAAATCACGAGCTGATGATGTCATAATGCTGTCATTTTTCTAATCTCCAGCGGTACCAGGCGTTTCTTACTCTGCAACGAAATTTACATCATGGTTTAAATCTTCAAGTCGTCAAAAATATTTTATCCCCATTACAATAATAAAACATCATAGTGACAAGTGGGTATCATCCGTGGGTATGGTATAGTCAATGTTGACATATTTGCAGAGAAAATTTCAACCGGTGGTTTCATATATTTGAATGCAAAAAAACTGAAAACTGACATGAACAAATTAAGTCCTTCATGTCAAAATTGTGATATTTCTAACAAAGAATTACTGTTAATGAAACGTAAACTCTCAACTAAGTAGATATCCCAAAGTCTTACAGTACGCAAAAAACATTTCTTAAGATCAATTACAGATTATTATTGGAAATATTAGCTTGGTAACATATGAATTCACAGGAATATTTAGAAACAATGTTTAATTGTTTTGTACTTTTATGTTAACGAGGGTGCTTTATCTTAAAAAAAAAAAGAATTTAAATTAAACAATCATTAAGTGCCAAATCAATCCAATGTTCCCTGAAATATTTCAACAAAGGACATTTTGCAAAAAAAAATAATTAAAAAAAAAAAAAAAAAGAAATATTTAAGGACAGCATACCATAGCATAAAATCTAAGAAAGATAAATTCAAACTGAAATTTTACAGAAATAGCTGGATATATGTTTATAAATATTTAAAAAAAAGAAGATAATTTTCAACATCTGAATATATATTAACAAGCTTAAGTAAAATCAACCATACACAATCATGTCAAAAGTTAAAATACATTTGTATTCAAACCATGCAACTGTTCACCTCTGTGAAATATATCCTGATGAATTAAAAAAAATCATTAATTCCAGTGCTGAGTTAGCATTTTTAATATTCTGATTACAAAATGTCACTTATAGAATTTGCGTATTATAATAGTTGGTCAACCAATTTAAATTCTCAGTTGTTTGTAAATATGCTAATTATCTGGTCAAAATGTAGGACTACAAAAACATAATTTTTTTACAGGATTTTTCAGATGATGAAAAAATAACCTTATTAAAGAATGAAATCATAATAAGATGTCTTTTATTAAAAACTGAAATAATTCTTCAATATCAAATGGTTATTATCTGTATCTCAAACGAAGATCTATTGGTGTGCTGAATGATAATTACTAAATACAGATATAAGTATATGTTGTGCACTTCTGTGTATTTTGAAGGTTGATCGCAAAACTGTTGTAAGTCTTTCTTTATTTCACATAAGTTACTGTAGTTTTGCGGTCAACCCTTGATTTGGTATGACATTGCTTCTTTTGAGCCTGTCATAACTGCATATTTCAAAAAAAAGAAGCAAACAAAACAGTCTTAAATCATAAGGCAAGGTTATGTATCCTTACCCACCTATCTTTATATACTTGTAATTTGGAACAACACATTTGTTAGTTAAGGGGTTTAAGCTTAATTTGAGCAGTTAATAAGATAGGAGAAGCCTGGTTAGATTACCCGTACTGCTGGCAAAGGCAAGTTATAATTGCCCGTACTAGGCAAGTTATACGATAGATTTTCAACAAGCTTAAACTGCCAGTTAGTGCGATTTTACAATGACATGCCAGATTTAATAGTGCTTGACATGGCGCATTAAAACAAGTGTGCTTCAAATACAAAGCTTCCAAGCCGGATACAAATTAATGATGTATATTATAATGTAGTTCTGGGGGTTAGCTACAGGTGGAATCTAAACAGAGGTGAAACTGAACATACTTTATATAGTAAAACATACAAACAAATTATCATTATTCTGATGAACAGCTGAATATAGAGAAATTGAGGTATGAAACAAGTGTACACTTTACCATGCATTACTGTAATTCTAGAAACTTTCGCGATACAACATTAGCATATGCTGATGTTTCACTTTGTTTTTCTACTTTAGTTTTATAAGTAAGGAAAGCAGCAAGTTGAAAATTTCACGTTGTATTTTGTTTGTTTGTTGCCATGGCAGCAAAATTGATAAAATTCCCAAAACACAGGGCTTCTGTAAGTGGTCTTCTGATTCATGCTTAAAACTGACCAACTAAAGCAGAGTTCTTTTTATAGCCTAATAAATATTGCCATTATGAGATCCTTACTAAATAGTACAAAAATAGTGCAACATTCCTCAAAATCTCTACTGAATAATAAATATCACATTTAATCAAAGGAGGTATTATAGAGCAAACAAATCATCAAGCAGGTAGCAAATTGAAATAAATAGAATTCTTTTGAGTTACATGATTCTTTGGTTTTATTGAAACACTTTTGTCTCAAAATACAAATCTTTACATAATTATTTCTGTTTCCTTTTGCTTAAATATAGCACAGTTTAATAAAATTAAAAACAAAACATGCATAACTTATTCTATAAATACTATATACTTGCAGCAAAATGCTAGAATACACCTTTGGTGTAGTTTTACACCTTTGGTGTAGTTTATACGAGGGTTGTTCAAAAAGTAATAGGACTGAGAGGCTTGCATATTCATATTTCATCCAATTTAAAATATTTTCATATGTATAGGGATCGTAAAATGTTTTTTACAATTTATGCATAAGTTTATTGATTTATTGTGATGAACGCGCGTTTCCTGTGATATTGAATAACCATGGTAACACGCACCCGGCGCAGCACATGAAAATAGTCATTGATGCTAAGTTGTACTTCTGATTTATTCATAATTTATACTCTTTTTGTCAATATATTCCACCAACACATTCATCTATATTTAAGTGACATTAAATCTAAATTTGACGTCATTCGGGCATGAAATGGCATAATTATTCAGTTTTGAATAGCCGTGGTCATTGCGTTAAATGTAGAAATACGGCACTCGGTAACAAACAGAAATTCGTGCAATCGTTAAATTTTGCCAACAAATTGGCAATATTTTTCCAGATACTTACAAAATGATAACATTAAGAAAGGAAAATTATCCTGCCATCAGGACACTCGTTTTTAGCTGGTACAATCAATTTAAAAACGGCGAATACAAAATCACTCACAGGAATGTGTGAGGATGAAAGCGGAAAATTGATGCGACGTGAGTGACGTCAATTGCAAAAGCACTGTAAATGCTTCGACGGTAAATGTCCGGCATTTTTTATGTCTGCTTCGGGTCTACTTATTCAGGTCTCACCAAAGGATTGTATATAAGACGTTTCTATCAAATACTATTTTATTTTATCTCATTAGATATACTTGGTTTTAATAAAGTAATATAATAATGATTAACAGTATTAATATATAGTAGTATTTTCCCCCAATTTTGTTTTAATAAATGATACTTTTCAATTGATAAATATTGTTATTTTACTGTATATAATCATATTGTTTTAAAAACATTTGATGACATACATGTGAACATAAATAATATAAATCGGTTTTGCTTAAGCTTTATAAGTTAATGCTTATTGAGTTCCAATTTTACTAAATTATTTGAGAAAAGTGGAGAATGACCGCCTATCGGGAATTTTTCCTGGAGGGTTAAACGAAATTGTGATCGCTTTCTTTCTCGCTTAATCTCCATATATGAGACCTGATCATGATCTCATGATTCAGACACATAGAGCACTAGGAAAAATACTTTCAGGATGGATGACACTCGTTTTATTTTATATTTAGTTTACGACGTCATAAACGTCAATTATTGTATTGTCAGCTTGCGCCGAGTTTCATATCCCTTGTCATTTGAAAATTTCACAGAATTGTTATTTGTAAACATTTTGTATTAATTTTTTCACTGTATACAGAAAATATGTTCCAATATTTGCTTCTTGTAAAATTATGTGCGTAAATTAAAAAATGTGAACAGTAGAGCTTCAGTCCTATTACTTTTTGAACAACCCTCGTATGAGTGTAATAGTATAATATTGAGGCACGATTCACAAGAGATAAACCTAATAATTATGAACCAGTAATTAACAAAATACCACTAAACCCGTGCATGAAGACCGTAAAATACTTTTTACAGAAATAATGTTCAGTCACATGAAAAAATATCAAATAGTTGTTAAGGTATAATCTTATATATCATTTCAGACAGTGAAAAAAATCATGCTCAGAATATATAACTTTTTAACAGTTTTAATTGATCAAAAAAAGAAGACATCACTTGTAATAAATATGAAAAGAATAGTTTCAGTTATTTGGCCATAAACAATCAATTTTTATCCCAATAATTTAAATCAATCTTTGATTATTTGATCAGACTATGCACATGAGTTTCCATCATTTGATCATAATAACTTTAATAAACTGCTAATTTAACAAAAACTAGAGACATTTGTTAACAATATGTACAGTCATATTCAACAATAAAACATAATTTTTACATCTTTTAAAGAATTTCTGAACAAATAAATTCACTGAAGTTTTTCTTTTTTTAAAAATGGATACCAGTACAATGTATATCAGTTTTAGTTGAAAGAAAAAAAACTTTTCTAACTTCATTGTGAAATGAAAGACAAATTCAGGAAAATTGTATGACTAAATGGAAAACAAACTTCAATATCTAAAATAGAATCTCCATATAAATCTATAATACTCATTTTTGGTGTTTAAACAACGCGATAATATCACTTAAAGAAAAGAACGAACCTCTTGATTTTCATACAATCATATCTTACAGGCCAGGAAAAAAATACACATCCTTTCTGAGTAAAATATCATAAATATACAGAAAGGTAAACAATGTACAATTATAAGCAAAAAACATGTAGTTATTAACAGACTATGATGGTAGATGCATGAACTTTACAAAATGTACACAAGTAAATAAATAAAAAATGACTGAAACTTTGAATTGCAGGAAGTGATATTCAAGATCTCTCAATTATAATGAACATTTTCTCCTATCATCTAGTGTAATGTTTTACCTTTGTTTAAATGTTGGATAATTCTGTTGCTAGTTTCAGGGATTTTAAGATCAAAACACTCAGCAGACGACAGTCAACAGGTCTTGTCACCTGTGAAGATTGGACTGGTTCTATATACAGGCGGCATATCTGCACAGTCAACATGCATACATGTGATATCCTGACGGGATTTTAAAAAATCCCGATATTGAGACCCTAATCCCGATATCAGCTTATGAAATCCCGATATTTGTCTCTCACAGACATGTTACATGTAGTTAATAGACTTCCGAAAGTAAGTTGGTTATAAATTGTTTTATGACTGCGTTAAAGTTTTTTCATAGCCAGAACTTCCTGTACGACCAAAGTAGGACAGGATAGTCCATTACTTCCAGTAAATTATGATAGGATAGTTTACTTCATAACCAGAATTTCCTGTATGACCATAGTAAAGTGTTGTAATTTTCTTAGCAAGAGCTGCTAGTACGACCAAAATAGTAAGGGATAGTTTATTTCTTAGCCAGAGCTGCCAGTATGACCAAAATAAGAAAGGATAGTTTATTTCTTACAACAAAAATAGTAAGAGATAGTTAATTTCTTAGCCAGACCTGCCATTACGACCAAAATAGTAAGGGATAGTTTATTTCTTAGCCAAAGCTGCCAGTACGACCAAACTAGTAAGGGATAGCTTATTTCTTGATTAGAGTTGCCAGTACGACCAAAATATGAAAGGAAAGTTAACTTCATAACTATAATTGTCAGTATGACCAAAATAGAAAGTTATAGTTTTTTTTTTTTTTAACCAAAAATGCCAGTTTGACCAAAAAAAGGAAAATAAAGGCAGTGAGAATTTATAACAGAGCATGTTTCGCACATGATATTCCTCAGTTTCTTGTGTTATTTACATTTTATTTACAACAACAAGGAGACAAAGAAGCTGTTTACAAACTAATTGCCTAAAACAATCAGTTTCCTCATTTCCTTTACTTCTGTTTATGATATTTTTCTCATTTTTTTTTCACAATGACTATCAAGCAAAGCACTACATATCAATATTGAATATTTTCAGTAAGATTGATTCTCTTATTTCTTGTGTTTATCAACAGCAAAATGAAAGACATTTGAAAATAATCATAAATAAAACAAATAAAATAATTTTTCAAGTTATATTTCTAGATTAAAGACAAACTTGTCATTGTAATTCAATCACAACGGCTTTTCTGAGAGCGGTTACATTATATATCCATGTGACCAGTGCAGAACAAGATGGGCCGGCAAATCTATGCCATCTGATCATAGCCTGTAGATATCAAGTTCCCTATCAAGTCAATACATATTTTGAAATTTTCCTTAAATCTGGTGAAAAGTCTTTAGGAAGGTAGGCAAGTTCATCTTAGATAATTAGCGTGGTAAGGGCTGATCAACAGTGAAAATTATATATTTAGCGTGGTAAGGGCTGATCAACAGTAAAAATTATATATTTAGCGTGGTAAGGGCTGATCAACAGTAAAAATTATATATTTAGCGTGGTAAGGGCTGACCAACAGTGAAAATTATATATTCAGCGTGGTAAGGGCTGATCAACAGTGAAAATTATATATTTAGCGTGGTAAGGGCTGATCAACAGTGAAAATTATATATTTAGCGTGGTAAGGGCTGACCAACAGTGAAAATTATATATTTAGCGTGGTAAGGGCTGACCAACAGTGAAAATTATATATTTAGCGTGGTAAGGGCTGATCAACAGTGAAAATTATATATTCAGCGTGGTAAGGGCTGACCAACAGTGAAAATTATAAATTTAGCGTGGTAAGGGCTGATCAACAGTGAAAATTATATTTAGCGTGGTAAGGGCTGATCAACAGTGAAAATTATATTTAGCGTGGTAAGGGCTGATCAACAGTGAAAATTATAAATTTAGCGTGGTAAGGGCTGATCAACAGTGAAAATTATATTTAGCGTGGTAAGGGCTGATCAACAGTGAAAATTATACTGAGCAATGTGCTAATATACATGTATAAAGGAAGAAACACTGGAACAGATTACTGTGCAAACTAACATACTTAATGACATTTATGATCAAAGTCTTCATTTGTTCAAAGTCACTTTCTTCTTAATCATAATATTTCCTACATTAAATTAGATCTATGGCTGCAAAAGTTAATATTTTTGTGCCTTACTACATAACTTTAAATACAATGTAGAATTTCTTTCGAAGAAAATAATCAAAGGTAAGTGTTTCATTTGAAATAATTAATATATAAATCAAGAATGTAATTATGTTCAGATTTTAATTCTTTTTCTTTATTCTACTCTTTAGGAATTTTATTTTAGTTGTGAAATAAAGCACTAAATTTGTATAATAATTTTTTGTTCAGCTATTGATGCACAATGAAAGCAACTGTTTAATTTTTGAAAATAATGTATACATGTCAAAAAAAAAAAAAAAAAAAAAGACGGTAAGAAAAAAAGTAAAGATCATGCATTAAGATGATTATAACAGAGACTTGATATATAAATTTAAAAACATTCAGACTAAAACCATAATAATGTCATTATTTTCAATTATAATAAAATGGTTACTATGGCAACCAAGTGCACGAAACTCATCAAGTTGTAGTGTAGCTCTGATGGGCTTATATACTACAATATTGCAAAAGCCCTATTGGAAGTGAAGCATCTAGGCTGCAATTGTTCTACATTTATTGAGTTGGTACATTTACTAATAACACAATGGCAGTTAATGTGCTCATGGTGTGAGGATAAAATACTACCCGGATAAAATGCCCCACTCTCACTTTTGCACAAACAGACACAATCTCTTTGAATATCTGTTTTGAGATCAAGTTTTGTAAAAACTTAATAAAGTCAAAAGTTAATGATTACATAATATAATAAAATTCCTTACATCAACTAAGTTTTTGTGTAAATTCAGCAAGAGATTGCTATGGTAGGTTGTTGTGCATGGGTACCATGAGAAGCATCAAGGGGAATTTTGTCCGTGGGTTTGATCTTACATTAAAGTGCTCATGTCAAGTCACATTTGCTGCAGCTGAAAAACTCAAAATGTACGATATGACACAGGTGTCAGTTGGTTTTTTTAGTTTTGAGTGTTGACAACTACAATAATACTATATGACAGTCAAAATAGTTTTGTCTAACAAGAATGGCACTATCAGTAAAAAATAGATGGCGGAAAGACGACAAAGAATGACATCCTAGCACGCTACATGAAGTCAGGTATGCTTGAAGGTGAAGTTGCTCGCAATGGATGGTAAGAGTAATCTTACTTTTTTCCTTGTGCCACTTAAATAGTCTTTATACATATCTGAACGTACATATCTCCCATAACTATCACTTTTCATTAGTTTGAATATGTGGTCCTGAAAACAAAATAGAAAAAGATACGAAAATCTGGCGGAACTGAAATAAAGCATGCCTCCTTAACATGAACTTTTTTCTTTTTTTATGAGTACAAGTACACTGATTTACAAATATATGTGCATGTGTAACCTTGGGCAACTTGCAGAAAAAAATAATGCTTCCATTGCAATTTTAATCTCTACAGAATTTTACCAGCAACTAAGAAAATTGTCAAGAAAAAACAATAGTTTCTATTCCCACTAAAAGTTATAAATGCATGCCTATTAACAATTTTCTTGCCTATACATTCTGCCAATTTTCTACTTAAAAAGAACTTTGAATGAAAAAATAATTCACAAATCAAGAATTAATGAATTTGGAGGCATGATTCATCAAAAATTGAATAAAATTTTATTATTTAAGAGTCATTGCCCATACCATATTTAAGTGATACTCAAAGGGAAATAATTTGTAGTAAATTTATTTGCCTAATGATTTTCAGAACAGTGTTATAACAGAAATAATAAAATAATGCAGAAGTCATTACTGACCTAACAAAGTTTTCTGACTCACAGTGGTAGCTCCTACATATATTTTATAAATATATATTATAACTGAGTGAACAGTGATGTGAGAGGGTTATTTAAGGGGTGACATTAAAATATACATGTGAAAATATCCTGAACCTAGAAGTGATATTTAGTGAATGTCAAAAGTACCTGAGCTTCAGCAAAACAATATCTGTTAGGGTTATCATCCACACGTTTCCTTACTAACTCTGATATTCTCGCGTCTATGTTGACGGGATTGTGGGCACCAGGGGCTAGAAATTCACTGAAAAATTTACCATTTACTATTTTATTTTTTCATCAGAATTGTTTCATGCCTATGAAAAAAAAGTAGTTTAAACACTTAAGACATTCAATATCCAATGTATAATTTTCTAGTTCTTTCCATAATCTTTTTGACTCAATATAATAATACACCTATGATATTGCCTGTATGCCCTCCGATTAATGCTAAAAATATATTTTAAACAAGAGTTGTCAGTCCTGGCGACAATGTAGTAAATAGGGAACAATGTTGTTAGTATTGAAAGTAAAGATCATAAATGAAAACTTCACTAAAACGGTTAATTGAAATGGTTATTTACCAATGACCATGAGTGGGTCATGCATTTTGAAGTCAAAATACAAAATACAAGTTTATAAATTTTTTTTTTAAAAAGCTTACGAATAAATTTCATGGACTTTATCATGTAATTCAGCAACTTTCACACATTTCAGTTCTTGACATGCTAGCCAAAATCTGCAAGAAAATACAGCATACAATTATCATTTAATATGTTTGTTATTTGCAGAATATATCATTTTAATATCAACCTGTGCAAATAACAATTATTTTAAGAGAACTAATTTCCTTGATTTTATAGTCATCTTAGACTTTTCATTGGAATAAAGTAAAGATCATCTTAAAACAAAATACAAAACCTATGGATTATCAGGAGGCTAATCCACATCAACTACAATATCTCCCTTTATACTTTATATAAGTTACAACAATCTGCAACAAATTCTAAATGCAATGTCGGTACGAGGTACAGGTCACTGACTTTGAACCACTTATACTTCAGCATTGTGAATTCTAATCCTTCCAATAAATTTTGATACTTTCATGTGAGTAAGCTTATCAGTTAGCTGAAGAAAGGTCAATGATTCTAAAGAGCTGGCTTGTGCCTGGAATAATGTATGGAGGGGCACCCCAGATTTTCATGTTCCAGTAAAGCTTAAAGTCTCAGTATGAGCAAGGTAGAATTATGGGTCTTTTCTTGACTAAAAACGTTACGAATACAAAACTAAACTAATTAATGCAATACCAGACGAGTAGTTTATTTAAGTAGAAGTGCAGCCGGGTTACATCATACATTTATACATGTAAAAGAGAAACATTAAGAAACATGTCTCGAGATCTAAAAGTAAAAGATCTATGAATACATTTCTTAATTACAATACAAATATAACTGATAAAATGTCATCTTTATACATGTACATGTAAATCTACTTGTTTAAATATTGCAAATGAAAATACCATATACCTGCGAATAACATTTCAACGTATTTACCTAAACTTCCGTACAATTTATTGAAACTTGTAACCAAAATTTAACATAAAGATTGAATGACGAACCGACTCGCCCAGGTAAAAAACAGAGGTAAAAACATTTTTTAAATGAAAATATCTCTGAAAACCCTGTGCCCATTTGTCAATGTCGGATCGTAAGAATGTCGGGCCTCATTCCTTGCAGGTATATGGTAAAGCATCATAAATGTAGCATTATATACATACAAATTATATTGTGCGTTACTCTTGCTTTAATATTTTTAACAAGGAAAACGTTTTTTATGAAGTAAAATACAACTTTCCATTTTCTTTTTTAACTAGTGCCTGATTAAAAGCCTGCTAAAATGTATGTATTGTAAGAAAAAGCTTACTGAAAGTATGTGAAAAAAAAAATAAAAATAAAAAAAAATAAAGTTGAAATTCAGGGAAAAATCCACTTTTAATATTACACCACGATTAAAATAATATAAAATTGAAATCGTCTGGGTAGAAGTGAATAAAAAATCTTTACACTCCGTATTTATAACCCTGATATAGATAGCCTACTCGAAAAAGCACGATAATCTTGTGCACAACTGACCATTACCTCCAATACCGTAAACTATGTACGTTTCGAGAAGACAAATATTTCACGCTATACTACGAAACGCGTGAAATTAATATTCTTGGATTTTACACTTCTTCCCATCAGGAAGCTAAATAAATATCCTAAATCTTAATATCATTGCATTTACAATGCTTGATCAAGTTTCTTTTATTACACATTTAATGGTTTGTCAGCAGAAAATATTTTGTTCAAACAAAAATTTGAAACTCAACAAATAACTCAGGCAATGGTAGTCTAGAAAAAAAAGGTGTTTTGTTTTCGGCCCAGTAATTACTGAAATAGTAATGAACGTGTTTTGACTTACTTGAGGTTTTCACCGGAGAACTCCTTATCGAGGAATTTACTAAACTGGTCCTTGCCTGCAAAATCACGTAATAATTCCTCTATAGAAAATGCCCATCTCTTAACACGTCGTAATGGTATATCTCTAGCATTCCTACAACATTTATAATACAAACAATAGTAAGTATGTCAAGTCTTTAAACATTTGGTTATCCAATCATCCATGTGGGCCTCAAAAACATAATTTATAAAATATACATAATTTACATCTTGGATATACAGTGAAATTTTCAAAATACATACATGAAAACACAAAATATTATATATTTATAATGTAATATTATACCTCATTTGCATATTATGCTCTTTTATATTTAATATGACGTCACCCGGTCCATAAACCGCATACAGACCGGGGGCGGTCCATAATTGTTATGAAGACCGTTTTAACGTAACTTTGACGACATGCGAATTTCACGATGACACAAACTGTCAAAATGGCCAGGCGATTCGCCTTTTTATCAGAGACATAAAATTACATGTTGATGTGATTTGTCATGATTTGTCTTTGATTTAATTATAAATTTTATTTATACAGTTTGTGAAATTCCTAAAGTCCCGGTTTTTTTTGCCTAGTAACATTAAATATTTAATTTGAAAATAATTAAACAAAATCCGACTAGGGTTTGAGATATTTCACACACTGAACAAGTAAAATTATTATTTGAAAGCAAATAATAGTAAAATGACAGCACAAAACAAATGGATGAAAGGATTTAGATTCGGTATAATATAACAAATAAAACATGGCCTTTCGGGCAAAATGCAAGTTTACGGACTGGTTGGTCAGACCTCGGAAGGAATATACCTTCCTCAGTCTGACCAACCAGTCCGTAAACTTGCATATTGCCCTCAAGCCCATGTTTTATTTGTTAAATAATTCATCCATTTTTTTTTATTATCAAAATATGAAAAAGTAACTGGTTTTACAACATGATGAAGATTGTGGCCATTATTTGTCCAATAAAATACAGTTGCTATTTATGACATGTTCAATGTTGATCAGCTTTTGAAACATTCAGTACTGTTTTACATTATAAACTTTTACAATATAAACTTAAAAAAACTTCAGTTTTCAGAAGCGCAACCCAAATTCACTGAATATCTAAGTTTGCAGGCTACAATTAATAATAATTTTGTGATTAAGTGACTTAACAGCTACTCCATCTTGTAACAGGAAACTAATGTCTTTTTTAATGTAATTTTCACACCTTGTATTTTCAGGATGAATTCATATGAACAAATGAAACATTCAGGTATCCATGGTAACTTACATAGTCTTATCTTGATCCCAGTACTCAGTACTGTCAGTTATCCATGGATTCGTTGGGTCAGCAGGGGTACAAAAAGCATCATATTCTGCATACTGATCATAATAGGAGGTGTAACTGTAAAAAATAACAAAAATCCATGTATATGTGTACAGTAACATAACAGTAGGATGTATAACAAATAGCAATGTATATGTTTACAGTAACATAACAGTAGGATGTAAAACAAATAGTTATGTATGTGTGCATTTACAGTAATATAACAGTAGGATGTATAACAAATAGCCATGTATATGTGTACAGTAACTTAACAGTAGGATGTATAACAAATAGCCATGTATATGTGTATAGTAAGATAACAGTAGGATGTAAAACAAATAGTTAAGTATGTGTGCATTTACAGTAATTTAACAGTAGGATGTATAACAAATAGTCATGTATATGTGTACAGTAACATAACAGTAGGATGTATAACAAAAAGCCATGTATATGTGTACAGTAACATAACAGTAGGATGTAAAACAAATAGCCATGTATATGTGTACAGTAACATAACAGTAGGATGTAAAACAAATAGTTATGTATGTGTGTACAGTAACATAACAGTAGGATGTATAACAAATAGCCATGTATATGTGTACAGTAACATAACAGTAGGATGTATAACAAATAGTCATGTATATGTGTACAGTAACATAACAGTAGGATGTATAACACATAGTCATGTATATGTGTACAGTAACATAACAGTAGGATGTATAACAAATAGCCATGTATATGTGTACAGTAACATAACAGTAGGATGTATAACAAATAGCCATGTATATGTGTACAGTAACATAACAGTAGGATGTATAACAAATAGCCATGTATATGTGTACAGTAACATAACAGTAGGATGTATAACAAATAGTCATGTATATGTGTACAGTAACATAACAGTAGGATGTAAAACAAATAGCCATGTACAGTCGAAACTGTCTTAAGCAGCCAGCCAAGGGATGCAGTCATTTTGGCTGCTTAAGACAGGTGGCTGCTGAATGGAGGATTCAGTTTTTATCCAAATAAGTTATTCATTTCTTTGTCAAATAAATCTGATTTAAGTATAAATAAACCAGTGTAAACTTAATGGGTGTGATTTAACAGTGACCTCATTATATTTATGCAATTTTATTTTCACACATGGAGCAAGTGTTTTTATGAATTTATTACTGAGGAATTTAGACAATCGGCGATGTAATTCATTTTCATTTCTTTGGTAAGTACCATGTACGCACAAAATTTATCTGAATCGGGATAAACTGAAATTTCTTTCTGCCATCGACAATGCATTTTTTTCTTCTTTCTTTTTTTCTTAAAATCGGTAAATTGAAAAATAAAAAACTAGCGTACAGTAACTCAAAAGAACGAATTGCAAGTGCGTTGAGACGTTCCAAACGTTTGTAATTACGACACGGATGAGCAATTATGCAAACTTCTTGAAATGTTGTGGTTTGTGTTAATATCTAGCACCTGACAAGTAGCTTTTGTTAATCCGTGACACGTGTCATCTTTAAAAATAAATGGCAGAAGATTGCCTGGCCGTTTCACCTGGCTGACCGCAGAAGATTGCCTGGCAGTTTCACCAGGATGACCGCTTAAGATGACTGACTTTAACAGTCGGGAAGCATTTTAGGTGACCGTTGACCGCGGACAGCAGGTGACCGTTGAACAGATGTATAAAATAGAGTGGTTTTCGTCGGGAGCGTCACAAAATGGCCGTTAAGGTCAGGTGACCGCCGATAAGAGGTGACCGTTAGTACAGTTTCGACTGTATATATGTACAGTAACATAACAGAAGGATGTATAACAAATAGCCATGTATATGTGTACAGTAACTTAACAGTAGGATGTATAACAAATAGCCATGTATATGTGTACAGTAACATAACAGTAGGATGTAAAACAAATAGCCATGTATATGTGTACAGTAAGATAACAGTAGGATGTATAACAAATAGCCATGTATATGTGTACAGTAAGATAACAGTAGGATGTAAAACAAATAGCCATGTATATGTGTACAGTAAGATAACAGTAGGATGTAAAACAAATAGCCATGTATATGTGTACAGTAACTTAACAGTAGGATGTATAACAAATAGCCATGTATATGTGTACAGTAACATAACAGTAGGATGTAAAACAAATAGCTATGTATATGTGTACAGTAACATAACAGTAGGATGTAAAACAAATAGCTATGTATATGTGTACAGTAACATAACAGTAGGATGTATAACAAATAGCCATGTATATGTGTACAGTAACTTAACAGTAGGATGTATAACAAATAGCCATGTATATGTGTACAGTAACATAACAGTAGGATGTAAAACAAATAGTTATGTATGTGTGCATTTACAGTAATATAACAGTAGGATGTATAACAAATAGTCATGTATATGTGTACAGTAACATAACAGTAGGATGTAAAACAAATAGTTATGTATGTGTGCATTTACAGTAATATAACAGTAGGATGTATAACAAATAGTCATGTATATGTGTACAGTAACTTAACAGTAGGATGTATAACAAATAGTCATGTATATAGTTATATATGTGTGCATTTACAGTAACATAACAGTAGGATGTGTATCTAAAAACAAGAACATGTTTGTTAAACACAAATGCCCCCAAGCCCAGATTATTGTCAGTAACAATGTTTCAAAAATGGTTTACCCATTCACTCAGATGTGCCAAATTATTTTAAAATCCTTCAATGCATGACAAAGTTACAATCTGGACACAAATGTTGTGTAAGTGGGGAGCACAGACAGACAAATGGATGGTGCGATTTTAATATGACGCCTTTCTGGGACATAATAAGATATAGTCATTTACGTGCATAACTGTACCATACCAAATTTTGTCAGATTTTCATAATAAAGGACTGATATTAAAGACATTTTCCCTTTTAGCATCTTACTTTTAATCCATGTAATAACAACTGACTTGCAAAATGGACTTGTTCACCTTCCAGTTTGTAAATTGTCATCTTGTTTTGAATTTCAAGATGAAAAATAAAGTTTTGAACAAATGGTATAGAGTCTGGTCAAAGACTGCATGAAATTTCAGGTTGGCCTGGCTCTATACTGGTGGCAAAGGCTAATCACTTTTCAGGATGGCCTGGCCATATACTAATGGCAAAGGCTTATCACTTTTTGGCTTGGCCTGGCCATATACTGGTGGCAAAGGCTAATTACTTTTCAGCTTGGCCTGGCCCTATACTGGTAATAAAGGCTAATTACTTTCAAGTTGGCCTGGCCATATACTGGTGGCAAAGGCTAATCACATTTCAGGTTGGCCTGGCCCTATACTGGTAATAAAGGCTAATTACTTTCAGGTTGGCCTGGCCCTATACTGGTAATAAAGGCTAATTACTTTCAGGTTGGCCTGGCCCTATACTGGTGGCAAAGACTAATCACATTTCAGGTTGGCCTGGCCCTATACTGGTGGCAAAGGCTAATTACATTTTCAGGTTGGCCTGGCCCTATACTGGTGGGCAAAGACTAATCACATTTCAGGTTGGCCTGGCCATATACTGGTGGCAAAGGCTAATCACATTTCAGGTTGGCCTGGCCCTATACTGGTGGCAAAGGCTAATCACATTTCAGGTTGGCCTGGCCCTATACTGGTGGCAAAGGCTAATTACATTTCAGGTTGGCCTGGCCCTATACTGGTGGCAAAGACTAATCACATTTCAGGTTGGCCTGGCCATATACTGGTGGCAAAGGCTAATTACTTTCAGGTTGGCCTGGCCATATACTTATGGCAAAGGCTTATCACTTTTGGCTCAAGCAGGGTAAGGGTTAATGAAGATATTCAATAAACTATGATCTTACCTTTCAGTTACTTTGGAAATTTTTACTCTTCTCTTTTCTAATTTCTTCTTTAACAGGTCAATCTGAAAACATTGATGCATTATACTGGAACATTTAAACAACATATCAATGTTTTTCCAACTATTACATTTCTTTCTGCATAATTATCAACTGCTTACAACTTTTAAATAGGGGATGAATGGTAGATGTAATCATATTTTGCAAGATAATGCTTAAAATATCATCAACAAAAAATGTCTGTTACACCACTTGTATTTTTAATGCATAGGTCAATATAAATATTTTAAATAACATTATAACAACATGATAGTTTGGCATCCACTAGACCATATATCATATAGTCCTGAGAATACTAGAACAATCAGTTCAATGAGTCTGTGCAACACTTTGCACTTAGAGTCAACAGACTGACGGATCAGCACTTAACTTATGAGGTCATTGATCTGTGGTCTGGAGTGCATATTTAAGTACTATTTAATGGTCATATTTTACCTCACTTCTCAAGTTTGAACACCTCATCAACAAATCAAGCAATGAAACAATGTCTAGACTAAGTGTTTGCAACAATTAATGTGAAAGCAGAGAAATAAACTGATCAGATCGGCGATTCCACAAACATTCAAATATATTGATTTCAGAGGAGAGTTTAAATCACAATATTTCATTTTTTTCTCACCATTCATTAAGTTTTTTTTCCTAATAAAAAAAATACATCATGAAATAATCTGAGAAATGATCTAGATTGACTTCTTTAAATCACTGTAAGAAATGATATCTCAACAAAATACTAAAACATAGTCACAAATCACAAACAGGAGTGCAAGGATGGTCCTCAATTGCTCACCTGAAGATACTGTTTATATGGAAAAGAGTTCATTATTATGTCATTCCTATGCATAGATCCCTAACCTGTTTAATTCTAGTTATCAGATAAGTGAATTACAATAAGAATTTCACCACAACATATTTGTTCACAAAAGAGCACATGTCAATATTTGTTGTTAAATATATTGTTGTTCAAATAAAAGGTCAGAGTAGGGATCTATCAATCAAGTTTCATCAAAATCTACCATAAGGTTCAAAAGCCTATTTCTATCTAAGTTAGGGCGGCCATCTTGCTCAGCAGATTAAAATGACTTGATCAAATTTATAAAAAGGACCACCTAATGACCTAATGTACAGTTCCATCAAATTCTACAAAACTGTTGAGATGATGTTGCTCTGGTAGCCAACTTGTTCAGCATAATAAATTAATTTTAGCAATTTTTGTAAAGAACCACCAAACAAACATATGTTTGTTTGTTTGGGGTTTTACGTCACATCAACACAGTATAGGTCATATCTCGATGTTCCAGTTTTACTGGTGGAGGAAGACCTCAGGTGCCCTTCCGTGCATTATTTCAGGCACGAACGGGCACCTGAGTAGAACCACCGATGTTCCTTAAGCTAGCTTGAAAGCTTCCTCACATGAAAGAATCCAAAGTCCCTGTCGGGATTCGAACCCACAGCGGTGAGGGGCAAGTGATTTGAAGTCAACGACCTTAACCACTCGGCCACGGACGCCCCACAAACATATGTAAAGTTTCATCAAAATCTACCAAAAGGTTGAGGAGGAAATATTGTTAAGCTCTGACAGTCATGTAATTCTGCAGACTGGTGCAATTTTAGTTAAGGACTATAATAATATTGATAATTTCTAGTACAGATTCATCAAAATCTACATAAATGTTAAGGAGAAGACATTTAAAGCTTTGTTCATTTTTTAGCTCTGGTGGCCATTTTCCTCAGATCAAAATAAGCAATTCTTATTAAGGACCACCTAATGATTATTCCTGTAGAGTTCATCATCCTTATCAACCCAATGGTTGAGGAGGGGATGTGGTTTAAAGGGTTTTCTTTTTTCATAGCTCTTGTGGCCATCTTGTTCAGCAGACAGGAACCATTTGAAGACCATCCATGAATCATATCAGTTTTTAAGTGGTCTGTTCCCAGTCAGTTAAAAAACTAGCATGACAGTGGTCTGTACCAAATCAGTGAGCAAGCTTACAGTATGTAAGAGGTTTGCACCAATTAAGAAATTGACAGTAAAAGGTTTATACCAAGTCAGCTTACAGATTTACAGTAAAAGATTTGTACCAAGTCAGTAAGCAAGCTTACAGTATGTAAGAGGTTTGTGGCATGTCAGTTAGCTAACTGACATAAGTTTACAAACTGACCTGAAAGTGGTCTTTATCAAGTCAGTTTACTAACTGACATGTATGTAACAATATTGTACCATGTCAGTTTACAAACTTACCAGTTTTAAGTGAACAAACTTGCAGTGATGTTAGTGGTTTATAGCATGTCAATTAACAAACTTAAAGCTTATAAACTTACAGCATGTAAGAGGTCTTTACGCAGACTATCAGCAGGATGATTTAGGTCGACCTCAGATACACTTGGGCTGAGTCGGCCACCAGGGACAGCATAATTTGGCTGCAACATAAAAACACAGTATGAATGACTTTTTATTCTCAATTGAAGCACAATGTAGCTAGATAAATTAATGCAGGTTTAAAACATAAAGCTTTTACAGACAAAGCATATCAAGACTTGCTTTATAAAAAGATACAAATTGTGTCACAATAAAAACAAATAATGAAATAAATCAATATAATTATCATCTATAGGACATATTTATGTCCAAAGTTACCTGACCCTTGACAGGCCTAATTTGAGTAGATCAATTTTAAATTTTTTACATTTTCAACTGCATCCTATGCATAGACCATGCCTGACATACATTTGTGGCCATTGCGAAACTGTTTGTAATGTTCAAATATCTAAATTCAATTCTTCAATGTGAAGCATTAAGTTAATCCTACTTTCAGAAAAGGCCAAGGTCATTCTTTGGTATAAATAAAGGAAATGTCAAGGTGCAGCTTTATAGGTTAAACATAAGTTAAACAAAATGAGCAATCTAACTAAAAGTTCTTTTATCCTTCTTTCAGTTTATCTTTTGTGTGCAGTTGCCCATATTGCTACACACACTAAAAAGTTAGTTGTTATTATGAAGTGTTGTGCATGATACAGTAGATGCCCCATTCCAGATGTGATGTTGGTTCAATTACATGCCTCGTGTAGTGAACAAATGCATGGGACCTTTAATTCTTGCCCAGAAAACAATTAGTATTGTTAGTTGATGGGCTGGGGATCTAAACCTGGATCATTAATTGTAGAATTGCTTATGAGTCGATTTTATCAGAATGAGAAAAAATAAGTTAAAGAATAATGTCAGGCTGAATCAAAAGAAGCTCGGCTCAGTAGAAATTTTCTTGTGATATAGCTTAATATACAGAATTTAGTTTAGTTTGAATGTGTAAGAAGCTATAACCATATAAAGACACTCTTAAATTAGTTAAATTTATTACTTCAACCAACCAGTACTAAGCTATGAGTATAAAGTTTCTTGCTCAAGAAAACAACAGCTTGCTGGCAACAGGGTTAAAACCCGCGTCACTAGCGATCCTTAAATTACTAGAGTTGACAGGAAAGAAGTGACAAAAAATTGTATTTATGACAACTAAGTTATAAAAGCCAAAACATTGTTTATATATATATTTCCCTGATATAACCCTGATTATGTAATCACTTTTACTGACAATCTCTGGCCTCTTAATTTCGAAATTAATGAAGCAAATAATATTTATGATACCATTACTAGTGATTCCTGAGATTTTTTTATCTGTATCTATTTGAATGTGATGAAATATTCAACAAGAGCGTCATTTAATGTAATGTTACAATTAATAAAAAGATTTAACACAGCAACTCCTTTTATATAAATGTGTAATGAAACTATAATAGAAGTTGCTAAGGGAGCATATATGAGATAAAAATCTAATGACTTTTGTCCCAGGAAAAAAAGAAAATTAACAACAAGATAGATCAGACACCTAAAATACTAACCATAGAATTCATTACCCCTATATTATACATAGTATTAACAAAGAGGTCGTATTAAGCAAGTTTCAAACAGGAATCTTCAATCTTTGACACATTTTTACTGTCAAGTATCCCATGTGACCTTTCCTGACTCAATTTGTGCTATTGACAATGACAGTTGAGCCTTCCTGTCAGTCATTAACAATTCAAAACACACATGGTTAATGTTTGAATTGAATACAAACTTAATGGCCTCACCAGGTTGAATGCTTGCACAAAAATAATAAAGCCTACATGTATATTGCAAATGAATATAATTATATATATCAAGCTTTTAAAATGCAACAGAGAAATAAAAAGTATGTTATCAAATCAGAATAATAATGAAATCATTAATAAAAATAATAGTAGAAAGGTTGGTTAAATAAGCCAGTAACATAAGTAAAACATTGTAATATGTTTCTGTTAGTATTGCAGAAAGGTAACAGAATAGTTAGAGTAAGGAAAACATGTCAACCTACCCATGTACCTACCCGTGACATCTTGGAATGTCTGTTCATTCTACAAGCCTTTTTTATATCTACCTCTGTAGTGTTTACACAGCCAGGCTAGAAATGTAAAATTTGTTAAAAAAATGGATTTGATATCTTCCTTTTTCATTTCCTTAAAAAATTTACCATTAAAACCAAGTTTGCGCCAAAGTTTGGCTGTTATTGCTGAATATGAATGACTTAACAAACAGGTAAAAGCAAACTTTTTAGAAAGTTACATTATAAAATATTACATCAATGTATCAAAATATTTAGATCATTTTCTGTATAACTTACAACAGGTCTATGTACATCCCAGAATGCCCTTTCCTGGCTGTCCAGCACCTTGCGTTCCAACTTGTCACGCTTTTTATCAACTCTAAAAATCCAAGAAAATATTTTTTTTTATCATGAAAAGATAACTGTAATTAAGACCATAACTGGGTCATCAACCAGAAAAGATAATGCCCAAATGTGAATAACTGATTTACAACCCTAGAAAGATATTGACCATTAACTAAATAACTAGTTTATAACCTTAAAAGGATATTATGCCCTACAGTAAATAACTTATCAACCCCGAAATGTAATGTTCTAAAGTAAATTTCTGGTTTATCACCCTGGAAATGTAATGTCCTAAACTAAATAACTGGTTTATCAACCTGAAAAGAAATTGTCTAAAGTAAATAACTGGTTTATTATCACCCTGGAAAGTAAATAACTGGTTTATCTTAAAATGCCCTGAAGTGAAAAAAAACTAGTTTATCAACCTATAAATGGCTATATAACCATAAAGTGAGTAACCGATTAATAACCAGGGAAATTTTTTGCCCTAAAATGAATGTGTGTTTCTGTCCAACACAATTTTAATTCAAAACACTTTTTTTTAAAAATTATTTCAAGTTTATTATTGATAATTTCTGTCAAGGTTTTAATTTTTCAAGACATTTAACTTAATGCACTAAAACTACAAACATTTCATATGGAATCACCTAAATGATATTATTACCAACTGTCCAAAATAGCCACACTATAACATTTTCTGTGTAATATAATAATAATAGTATAATAATGTTTTATTTTGAGATTTTAAATTTCCTGTTTCTATAGAAACTATATGTAGGTGTTAAGGAGATCATGACTAGAACAACATTAATGTGATAATAATTGTGATAATTATGATTTTCTTCGGCATAACAACCGCCATTAATTCATATTTACAACTCACTCTTGTGTCGTTTCTCCAGATTATATAACAGCACTATTTTTAATTCATACCTTTTAAAGAGGGTTTCATATTTTTATTTTGCTCAAACTGTAGCATCATGCCTTCTACTATTTTAGCTTCATACACAACTTCAAAATCCCTAGTTTAAATATGTGTCTTGGTATTTAAAATTGTGCGATTTTAGTAAAACAAACAAGACACTGAAATGGTATCAGATATTTTTGATCACCCTGTATATATAAACTATTCATATATGGCATCAAAATGCATTAAATCAGTGTATCTACATGTTTTTTGGTCATCTTGGCACAACTGGCTTTAGAAATGATAGTAAACAAAGAAATGAATATACTTGCTAATTAGTCCTGTCAGAATGTTTTTTTTTTTTAATATTAAAATAAGACAAGCAATCTGAAAGAATTTGCATTCTTTAAAATAGATTGACCTCTTCTTAATTGACTATTGACTGATCATGGTCTGCACTATTTGCTATTCACGCTTTTTTTGTCAATTTTTCCAAAAAATGATGAATTCTTTTGTCCGGATTGAAAAATGGACAAGTGCATTTTAAATATTTAGTGTGGTTATGGTTAAACTTTAAAACTAAATATACTGATATTTACTTGGCTTGAGCTTCTGCCTGCATGAAAATAAACTCCCATTTCCGTGAAAACATTTTCTGAAGCCGGGCTAGGTTTTCTGCCTCGTAATCTGCCAGTTCAAGACGTTGCTTGTTCTGCATTGTTCTCTTGCATAAATATACAGCTGAAAAAATAGAATTTACAGATTAAAAATGTTCAGAAACATGTCACCATATACATCAACTGAAAAGACATCCTAGAAATACCTTTACTGAGCATGCATTTAAATAAACAAATAAAAAAATATTTGGTCTGTGAAAATAGAGTATAATTTACAAAATGTGTAATACTATGAGGGGGGAAATTAATGCAAATGTTGACATTTTAAACAAAATATGGTTATAAAACAGTAACAAATAGTCCCAAACTAGAACTGCCACTATCATGGCGTGAATACCCCCCGCATACCACTTTGTCATAATCAACAGTGGCCATTAAGAGCTCAAGGAACACCTCCCTGCCAAATCTGAGGTTACTAAGCCAGTGCATTGCTAAGTTATGTATTCTACATGCTTCAAATGTGAAAATGTCAAAATCAATACATTGCGGACAGGACATTCTTTAGCAATTGAGAAGAAAAGCTTTTGTCAAAGTCCCTGTGACCTTGACCTTTGACCCAGTGACCTCAAAATCAATAGGGGTCACCTTATAGTCATGATCAACATCCATGCCAAATAAGAAGACTGTGGGTCAAAGGAATCTTAAGTAAATGGGTGGACAAACTTTTTGAAGTCAAAGTCCCTATGACCTTGACCTTTGATCCAGTGACCTCAAAATCAATAGGGGTCATCTACTAACCATGACTAACCTCCATGCCAAATATGAAGACTGTGGGTCAAAGGAATCTTAAGTTATAGGGCGGACAAGCTTTTTGAAGTCAAGGCTCCTGTTACCTTGACCTTTGACCTGGTGACCTCAAAGTCAATAGGGGTCATCTACTAATCATGACTAACCTCCATGCCAAATATGAAGACTGTAGGTCAAAGGAATCTTAAGTTATTGGGCGGACAAGAAAAAACCGACGGCCGGACGGACGGCCGGACGGACGGACAAGCTGATTCCAGTATACCCCCCTTACAACTTTGTTGTGCGGGGGTATAATAAATGAAATTGCATTTAGGGTTAGTAAATTAAGGAGATTAACAGATGCATATTGATAAGAGAGACTGGATCTGATGGCTATTTTATGTAAATATTGCATGTACAACATCTCTCTAGTCAATACAATTTGGCAGTGTTCTACCTATAAAAACTTTTATTTTGTTCATAATAATCATCCATCAAAACTGGCATTATTCATACTGTTAAAAACTACAATAAAAACAAGATAAGAACTACTTTTTCTCTCTTGTATATGGCAGATATAGATATAGAAGTGATCTGGCACCATAAAATTTCAGAACTATGTCATCTTGACCAATATCTACTCTTTGAAGCGGAAATAATTATTTACCAACACTATGTGGGTAGTTATTAGTCCCCAGATTGTTTCTGTTAGTGTGGTTATACACATAAAATATAACTAGAACTCCGCGAGTCGGATGTGTCGCCTTGTGAACAATGTAGTTTAGGGGAAATGGCCAGGAGAAAAATGAAATATGAAAAAAAACAAAGGGCAATAACTAAAAAAATAATAAGTGCAGAGCAGCAGTTTCTGTGCACTGCACTTCTTATCAATAAGATCTATCATTCTATGATGTTTCAAGTCCATAGCTTTCATACTTGAGGAAAAATGACCAGGACAAAAATAAAGTAAGAAAAGCAACAAAGGGCAATAACTCAAAAGTAAGAAATGCTGAGTATCAGTTCTTATGCACTGCACTTCTTTTTAATGAGATCTATCATCCTATGAAGTTTCAAGTCCATAATTTTTATACTTTCAGAGAAATGGCCTGGACAAAAATTAAGTATGAAAATAAACAAAGGGCAATAACTCAAAAAATAAGAAATGCAGAGTACCAGTTCTTGTGCACTGCACTTCTTCTTAATGAGACCTATCATCCTATGAAGTTTCAAGTCCATGGCTTTTATACATTAGGAGAAATGGCCCGGACAAAAATAAAGTATGAAAATTAACAAAGGGCAATAACTCAAAAATTAGGAAATGCAGAGCACTGGTTCTTGTGCACTGCATTTCTTCTTAATGAGATCTATCATCCTATGAAGTTTCAAGTCCATAGCTTTTTTAGTTGAAGAGAAATGCCCTGGACAAAATTAAAGTATGAAAATTAACAAAGGGCAATAACTCAAAAAATAAGAACTGCAGAGTACCGGTCCTTGTGCACTGCACTTCGGGTTATTGAAAGAAGCATGCATACCAAGTTTGAAGTCAATCAGACTTATAGTGACTGAGTTATGCTCCGGACAAGCTTTAGCGGACGCCGACGCCGACAACGACAACGACGCCGACACAGACGCCGCCGCCGCCGACACCGCCGACAAAAGTAACCCCTATATGTCACCTTTTCAAGGCGACACAATAAAAAGCATGTCTCTAGGTTCTCATTTACCAAAACAACATTGAATATTTAATATATATACATTAGAAACTTACCATAATCAGTATTTTCAGGTTCACCACACTTAGACGGCCAAAAGCAGGGTGTCTGAAAAATTGATAAAGAAGAACTGTTACATAGAATGAAACCATTAGATTAAATAATACTTTAATGCTTATATGAAAAAATTAAACAATTTAAAAAGCTGAAAGGGAGTGATGCCAATGCCAACAGTACAGTATCAGGCAAGACTAGACTAGACCAAGATCAAGACAAGACCAAGACCAGATCATGACAAGATCAAGACCAGACCAAGATCAAGACTAAGATAAAGACCAGACCAAGATTAAGTCCAGACTAATATCAAGACAAGTTTAAGACCAGATTAAGACCAACAGCCAACACCAAGATCAAGACAAGACCAAACCAAGATAAAACCAAGACCAGATCAAGACCAAGACAAGACCAGACCAAGACAAGTTCAAGACCAGAGCAAAAACTAGACTAAGACAAGCCAACACCAAGATCAAAACCAGACCAAAATCAAGACCAGACCAAGACCAAGACAACACCATACCAAGATCAAGACAAAAACCAAGACAAGATAAGACCAGAAAAAGATCAAAACCAAGACAAGACCAAGACCAGACAAGATCTAACTCTATACCGTTAGTTGCTTGATTTAAGTATTTTGAGATTGAGTTCCTCTAGATTAATAACTGACAGTTCTGAAAATTATGCAGGAGAAGTCTTATACACAAATTTAGTTTAAGAAGTTAAAAACTTATTGTCATCTTAAGAAAAGTACCTTTATTCTTTCAGCACTTGTGATGTTAATGAGTCCTAAAATACTAGTATAGTCAAGTGAGTCTGCACATCAAGAAGCAGGGACTACAATATACTGTTGGCTGCTGAATTTAGCATATAACAATTTAACATGACTGGTCTGCATAGCTGCTTCATTATATAAATTTGGAGTGTTATGAGATGGGAACAAACTGTATAGTGAGGAGTGCGTGCAGTAGAGAGCCAATTAACATTTAGATAAATCATTATCATTGCGCTTCAACCATTTATCCAATATGATTGCTAAACGACCCGTTTTATATATTTACGTCATCTCCATCAATAACATTTTATGATAATTATACATGTATAAATTATAACCATTGGGACATGCCTCATTTTGTTGAACTTTTTCTTACTGACAATCCAATTATGGCACACGTGTATGGCCTATGGTGATTTTGAAATATTTTGACTTTTTATGATTTTTTATTAGTAATGGTACTGCCTGCAGTGTTTACAGATGATCATTTTCAACCTTCAAAATATGACAAATTATGGGTCAAAGTTCTTCTTCAACTTCTTGGACTTTAAAAAAGCCATTGATATATTATGTATGGGTAAAATGTCAAAATATATATATATCATTGTATAGTAATTGGCATTGTTAAGCAAAGAGTACAACCTTGACCTACAAACTGGCGATTCTTTGACATTAACGGACTAGAAACTTATATAGAAATATACACTATAATAACCACAATGTATTATTTACCGAACAATGAGTTATTTTTCTCCTTGTAACAGGGGATTGTTTTTTTGTTTCAGTCATTTTTCAGGAGACGTTAACAATGACAATTGACAAATGATGGTGAGTGTATATATCTGTGCCAGTCAGATCTTCTGACGTCAGTAATATTATTGGACTACTCGGCTTTCACGAATTAGATATATTGCAAAATCAATCAATGTGCAATTACCATAAAACATGGCATAACCATTGTAAAAAGATGCATCACTTTTTTGACACTTACAACATAAATATTTAAACATGTAACACGGTCAAGCATAAAGTTAAGTCAGTTCTTGCTGGTTATAACTGAGGCATTTTTTTGGCATTTGCACATTAAATGTACCAATCACTTCAACAGATAATAGATATAAGATTATGACACCTGCCATCTGTATCAGTACAGGTACTTTTATACTGATAAATTCTTATGTCATTTTTACCTTTTTATGTAATGAACATGTCCTCCTTTGAATTTGGAGAAGTCCTTTGAAAGTCAATAGGTTTTCAATATTAAAATACTAAAATTTAGCTGCAATACATATATACCGGTGGCATAGGGTTGTCATTACATAGGGTATTCTATATAGACAATAACACTTATAGAAGCTTTCTTGTTATATTTTGGCAAGAATAAAACACTCGGATAACAATATCTTCATAGATTGGTAACTGTCTTACAAAACCTTATTTAAACCAGCTTTGAATCTGACTTCTGAAATTAACCAGAACTGCTGACTAGTTGGGTTTTAACCCACAATACCTGGGTTGAGAGGGAGATACCTTATTCACTAGGCCATGAATATTGGTCAATATTTCTAGGCTTTGTAGTAAAGTTGATAAAGTTGAGACACCTTAATCACTTGACTCCAATCAATATGAGAAAACATGGCCCTGACACTAGTATGGGCTTGAACCCACAATCTCTGGGTTGAGAGGGAGACACCTTAACTACTTGATTCATGTCAATATGAGGAAACAAGGCCCTGACACTAGTAGGGATTGAACCCACAATCCCTGGGTTGGAAGGGAGACACCTTAAGCACTAGACCATCACTACTGGTTTTGTAGTAATAAAAAGTTGATATTTTATATACTGAGACTACAGTATCCTGACAGCCATGGGAATTATTTGATTAACATATTTCTAACATCAATGAATATATCTTAATATTTACATAAAGATATTACTTCTGTAAGAAATATCATATTTACCTTAAAAAGCATTTTCAGAAGAAATTCTGTGATTGAATAGAACGAAAATATTAAAGCAGCATGCCTCCAGATTCATATTTATTTTCATGAAAATTTTGAAAATGTATTTAAAAGTAAAATATTGCAAAGTGAACAAAGAAAGTAATTGTCACATTGCAATCCGCACTTACAGTCCGCGTAAATAACCAAAAAGAAGTCAGAATGTGCAAAATTAGCCCCTACTGCGTTAGTAACGCAGTAGAAATATGGTGATAAATACTGCAAAAATCAGTCATTAATTGCACATAGGATGTAAATTATCACTTCAATTTTTAATTTGTTTGCTTTTCTTAAAATTTTATAACATTTTTCCTAAGTTTAATTTTCTTGCAATATTTTGGCTCATCTGGAGGCATGCAGCTTTAAAATACCTGTTCAATACTAGTAGTTCTATGGTACACACTGATAATGACTGGAACCCTCATTTTCTATTAATTTACAGATTAATGAAATAATGAAACATTATCAAATTAGTTAGTAGTAAAGGAAAGTGTCCTCCAACCATTGGACTTGGTCTCCATGTAATTATAGGTAGACAAGTGCATTAACTTAATCACAGTTTCTAGTATATATATCTGTCACCTATACTTCTATACTCCCATATTATGTAATATGTAAGTCTAGTCAGTTCTCAAATTCTCTAATCATTGCAGGGGGGGGGGGGGCTTTCAGCAAAATGGTCGTATCTAACATGAGTGAACCCTGAGGGTGGGTACAAGGTATTCTTCTGATCCCTACTCACACTAGTCCAGCTTTGAATCTTTTGCGCTATACATTAGTAAATGAATTAACTCAGATTGGCAAAAACTTTGATTCTAAATGTTAAAACTTTGTTATAATTTAAAAGATAGAATAAATCAGTTTTGACTTCCATAATTAACACACTTGTGTAATAACTGGTAAAAGACATCGAGCAAATACATGTAGTCACCAACCTTCACTTAAAAATGCTATGTGTAGTTCCTATACAAGAGGTTTGACATTACAGTTAAAACACCTTAAGGTTTCAGTCAGACCATTTGTGACATCTAAGCATAGATGGTGCTGAATTTGTTTGGGTCTCAGAAAGTCATAAAGGTGAAGGTTATGAGATTATAAACCAATTTGTTTTTGTATAGTGCCACCAATTCTGTTTCCAGTGTTGTAACTGTAGTAAATTGGCTATAAGGCTAATTGCAATGTTTATTTGGCTTAAACAATTTACAAAATAAAAAAAAAGTGAGTTGCCTCAACTGGGATTGAACTCCAGACCTCTAGCTTTCTAAGCAAGCGTGTTAACCCCTCGACCGAGGGGAAGTTATAAGATAACAGCCTGAAGAAAATCACATTATTCTAAATTAGGGTTTGTAACCCTTACTAATTTCGAGATATTTTGTTCACGGTAAACCTGTTGTCTAACACTGATGTAAATAATCATGCATGTATATCTGTAAAGAATTACACAATATTAGAAATCTTTGACCAATGGGGAACTATTTTTTCTTTCTCGTGAAGGATTGAAAATTAATGCGCCTGTCATTTGACAATCTTTACGCATTGATCTTCCCTTAATTTTTCGGCGTTAGTGTAGATATAAAGAAAAGTAACCGCTTCGAGGAGTTCGGACTACTTTCGATATTTGCAAATAAGCGTATCAGGGTCTGAAATTTCACTACCATTATTTGTTTGGTCTGACGACCCAAACAAATAAAAACCATATTTATCTCCTTGTTTAAAGGCACATTATGACTCAGAAAGCTTTTATTTTTATTTCTAGTTTTTTAGTTTTGGTGTACTATTATAATATCCAAAAAGTTACATATTGGCCAATTACCTGAATCATCTTTTTCATCAGATTGGCAATAATTACAGTTGCAGTGAATTTGTATTTTGTATGGAAGTCAAACTACTACTATGTTTACACTTTCTACTTTTATGACAAATTATTTTACATTTATCACTACTTTTTTTAAGTATCAAGCATTTAAAATTCTTTAAAACAATTATAAACTTCATGCTAGACCTTTCTTAAGAAGTAAAAAAAATTTTGTTTCTGAGGCATAATATGTCTTTAAGTTTCAAAAAATATTTTGTTAAAAATCCTTTTATTTTCATTTATCAATATATATAGATATATACATTGCTCATTTTTCTTATATATATAATTTTCATAAACCTGTTTATGTTTTCTCTATGAACAAAATTGATAAAGACTTGATTGACCTTAGATTGTTTACAAACGAATTGAAAGACTTATCAAAAAATCTATTTCACAGGAAGATTAAAGACACAAGTACATTTATTAGTTAATTATCTACGGCCGAATTAGCCCCTGACAGCGCGTTAAATACATTACTGCAGTAGTAATAAATAATGAACCAGCATAATGGAATAGTTAATAGAAAGTTGCATTAGCAATGGCTGGACTGCAAATTGCCTTAAAGATTGTGAGTAAGTGTTAAGCATAAATCTCCACGATTGTTTCACTTGACAAAAATGTCTTACGTAATTTCCATGCATGCATCTTAAATGCATGAAGTGTTCATTCTCTACTGGCCTAATTGAGTCACTTCTAATTTATTATCAGTTTAAAGCATTTTTTTAAAGTTTTATTATCTAACTATCTAATTAAGACAGTTGTAAATTACAACTTCTTTTTGAACAGCTTTTGAATCAATTACATCATTTAAAACAGAAAGTCAATCATTTCTAGAAAGCAAAACAAATTTATCAAGATGCAAGAGATATAACTGTTTACTGTTTAAAATTAATCTTAAAATTTCATCTTCTAATATAACTTATCTTAAAATCATATCGCACTTAATTCAGGGGAATGAAATTGTCCTGCATTGAAATTGGAACTACCATGTGTCAGCGGATGAAGTTTCAATATCAAAATCCCTAAAACCTTGCAGCTTCTAGTGTAAACAGTCTACAAAAAAGAAGATTCCTTATATTTCCTTATAATATATTGACTTGGATTTTTTTCTTTTTGCCAGATTTCACATCGCACTTTTAAGGTCATTTGGCAACTTTCCAGCTTTACCTCAGGTCTCCCTCAGTGCATTATTTCAGGTACAAACTAGTACCTCAGTAAAAGCAACAAAGTTCCATAAGCCAGCTGGAAAGCCTCCTGACATAAAAGAATTCAAGGTCACTGGCTATGTTTGGTTTGATTTAGCCTGTGTGAGTTATTTTAAAGTGCAACATCTCTTATACCCTCTAGAATCCGCTGTAGCAGTTTTCAATCATCAACACTAAACATATTTAAACCAATGATCAAGAAGAAAATCAACAACAACGATTAAGGACAAGAAAAATGTAACAACAACACTGAGAACCTGGTCCGGCTACACAGATGTGCACGCTGATCTGGCTCTACACTTTGGTAAAGGGCTATCATTATCACCACTCCTGCTCCTGCTCCTAGAGTTAAAACTAATTACCTGGTTATTAAAGGCATCGATCTCCCTCATACAGTTTAAGATTAGTAGAGATAACCATATCTGTAACATTATCTGCTGAGTACTTATTCACCATCATTCTAACTATCAATCATTGACGACTAATGATGATGGAAATATGCTCAATGATAACAAACTCAGAAGGGTTCAAGGTAGGAATTTAGTTTGTTATGGCATGTATTGATGAATAAATGGAGGCTGAAACCAGTTATATGAAATATAATCTTTAAATCTAGTTAAGTAAATGCCAATCAAGTTTTTTTTCCTCAGATATTGTCTGTTGGTTCAGCTGTGAAGTTTTCAGAGAATGAACGATAGAATGATGTATGCAATACAAAGGTAAAGATTCATTTCTAAGGTTATTTGATGCCAAACATAAAGATTGATATCTTGCTTTTTTTCATACACTGTAAAAAAACATTATGCGAATCAATGCATGTCATAATAACATACAATATAAATAAATATATGACTGGGGTAAAAAACATTTTAAGGGATCAATTGTTGTAACCTGTCTCCGAAGAACAGCCACAAGTAGTGTCTCTGCCTCTCTTAAAAAGGGACCTAAGGTTCAAGCCCTGCTGGTCCAACATATAAAACCATATAAGTCAACAAAGAGCCTTAGAGAATGATTATATGATTATCATAAGCCCATAGTTTCATAAATAGAAATATTTTTTGCAGTCTTATCTCCTTGTATAGATGTTGTTACAATAACGGTAAAAATCCCATACTCATTAAATTGTAAAGGCTTGCAATAAATGATGCAGTGATCAGAAGTCAAGAGTGCTTGTTATTACAATAACTCATATTCACTGAATTGTATAGGCTTGGATACAGTGATTTCATTACTTACCTGAAATCTGTAGTAGGTATTATCACATTTCACAGTAAGAACATGGTCATCTATTGGGAAGAAATATCCATGGGAGGACATCAGGTGGGCTAAATGGAGGGCTTCCACTGAAATATAAAAATATTGTATAACCATGACAGAACATAAGGAGAGCTAAATGGAATGTTTGTACTCAATTAAAGGATATGAGGTGGGCTAAATGGAGGGCTCCCAATGAAATATAGAATTATGTATAACTATGACAGAACATAAGAAGTGTTAAATGGAATGTTTGTACTTGAAACTTCATGGGAGGACATCAGGTGGGATAAATGGAGGGCTTTATGACAGAACATATGGAGAGCCAAATGGAATGTTTGCACAGAAATATAGATATAATAACAGATAGGCTAAATGGAGGTCAGTGGGATTCAGCCAAATATAATGATGTGATGATTTGACATAGACCTAAACTTATAATAATGTAGAAAAAAAAACATGACAGAGCATCAGTTGAAATAATGAGAAAAAACTTTCAACAGAAATTCCCTTCCATGCCAATGAATGTTAAAATAGCTATAAGAAACCATTTCATAGGCTATGATGAGAAATTCAATAGAAATCTATCAATGAAACACTTTACTTATTCAACCTAGGGAAACAGAGTTTACACTGGAGCAATAAACTTCAACTGAGGTAATTTCACAAAAACCAACATCATAATGTCAAAACTGTAATCTAATCAATTAAAAAAACAAGATTATTTTTTTCCTATTTCCATGTTCAGGATGTTTTTGATTGGTTTATCTCAGGACATGTTCATATCCTCATATCAGAGCAAGTTTACGTAAGAATACACATCTTGAATGTAAAATAGTTCCATCATAACTTTGGCAGAATTTTGTTGTTTCTTACAGATCACAACATCTTGCAATTATTTACCTTGAGACATTTATCTAAAACATATTTTCATGCCATAAATCAAACACATTTTCTTCAAATTAAAAATAATGGACACCAAGTGCATGCCAACAATAACTGAATACATTCAGACAAAAAAACTTTGCAAGCCTTGAGAACAAATTGTAAGTTTTCTATATAAAATCTTATGCCAGGTACGTTATTCTTATATTTCTCTTTTATTTTCATAGAAAATACATTCAGTTTATTTTATGTGTGTGTATTCTACGCTAAATGAGGGTCCATTCGCCCTTTCAGGCACTGAGAGTACGGACCCCGGACATGTCACCATTCATGTCCTTCAAGGTTATTATCTGTTGTAAATTTTAAATTCAGTAATTCACTGAATGATACTAAATATGTATGCAATTTCATTTTACATATTATTTTGTTTAATTTATAGTTGCCAATAGAAACCTATAGATATGACTTACCCAGAAAAGTGTTATGTCATTTTATAAAGGACTTCTTTAAAGCAAAAGAACAGACAGAAATAGTATCTGCTTGAGAAGTAATGGTTCTTCGGGATGTATAAAGCCAAATACTGATGCATAACCTCCATTTAAAACACTTCTTTTGTAATTATAATCAGTGAAAATGAGACAAAGATAAAGCAGAAATTGCAACCCCCTGTAATCTCCTGTGTTCTTAAAGTTTCTTACAAAGTTCAAGTTCAGATGTAACATAAGCATTATTCAAAAGAACAGGAATAAGAAATTAATTAACAGAATGTTTCTCAGGTCTATCCAAAATTAGTAAAAGACAACCTAACATAACTTTTGAGTAACATTTGTTTAATCTGAAATAGTGCTAATTGCCAAAGGAGGTTCTGAAACCTTTGTGAAAATCCTTTTATGGGTAATACAAAACAAAATAGCAAAAGGATGCAATAATTTCACATTAATCTCCTATTTTTGTTTCTCTTATCAAAATCATATCTAAGAAGGGTTTATTTGAAAGACTGTCAGTTACTTCACTTAAAGAGCAAAGACCAAGAGTCTCAACATGTAAGCTTTGAATTTGTTTGTTTGATTTCATTAGGCCCAAGTTGTATCAGTAACCTGTGGGCAAATTATCTGCTAATCATTCCAATATAAATTGTTTGAATTACGTTGAAGGACAAATAGTGTTTAGGTAGCAACAAACAAAATTCTCAAGGAATAACAAAATGATCACTAAATAAGTTAACTCGTATAAAATTATATAAGTAGTTAACCCATTATTGCAATTAGACGACCAATCAAAACCTATGACCAAACTAACAAATCTTACATCAATTTAGCCAGTACTGAGCAAAGAAAGCAAACTTTTGAAATTCCCTGAAGTACTGTGAATGATAGGAGTATAAAATAAACTGCCCAATGATTACAATGTAAGCTTACCTTGGTCATCTACATCTAAATTCTTCATCATCCAAAATATTAGGTCTTGTCCTGAAATGAACGTAACAAAATCAGTATTAAAAGTCAGACTCCTTGGATTCTTGAATAACAAAATTAAAATATTCAGCCTTGAATGAAAGGGTTTTTATCAGTTTCTAAGTATAATTTCTATGTATAAAGACTTGGTCCCACAAACCCTTTTGCCTTGATCTACATTTGTATAAACTGTCTGCTTGAATTTGAATACAGATTTCCTGAGAAATATGAATCTCCATATATTAAATTCTTAATGAATTGAATTTTTAGCAATGACTTGCATATTTCACATATTCTTTAAGTAACAATGAAAGGTTTTCTTCGATAACAATGGTGGAAATTATGTGTTTTAATAGCCTTTTCATTGCTGAAAAATTCATCTTATTTTCATGATGAAAATAATATTGGAAAAATACAGTACTGTAAAGAAGAAATGTCTTATATTAATTGAGGTAAAAAGTCATGAATAAGACAAAATAAGACAAAATTTAATATCGTTTAGATAAATTCCAGTGTTATTTTGAGACAATGATAAAATCATATCAGACATATTGTAGATCAGAGAGAGGGATACCACAGTTCATGACAAAATTGTAAAACATGGTGGTGAAAAACTGATTTTCATAAAAGCTAGCAGAAATAATAACTTGTGATTTGTCTATGCCATGACAGCTAGATGTACAGTGAAAACTCTGAAAACCGGACTCTCTGAAAACCGGAATCCTCTGAAAACCGGACCATTTTAAAAGTCCCGTATTTTCTCCTTATATGTTCATTGAAAAAAATCCTCTGAATACCGGAACCTCTGAATTCCGAAAACCGGACACTTTTCTGTGGCTTCTAATGCTAAACATGCATAAAAAATCCTCTGAAAACCGGACAGCAATTTTAAGTGTCAACTTTCTGTGTATTTTAAAGCATATTAAAACATAATCTCAACAGGTGACATGTTCAATTACCAGTTAATGATCACCCTTTTTATCTATGCAGGTGTGAAAACACTTGTAAGTGTGTGTTAATTTCTTATTGGCAATTAAATCATAGCTCTTTCATTATAATTGTGCCTTTCCCTGTATAGGTATGATTTTTCTAAATGTTTTTAATGGTATCCGGACAATTCCCCTCCCGGAATCCTCTGAAAACCGGACTTTTGGTCAAGTCCGGAGAGGGTCCGGTTTTCAGAGTTTTTAATGTAGAATAGAGCCATGGAAGTAATGTACAGAATGGAGCCACTGCTGCTATTCTTAGCATAGCGCCATGGCAGCCATTTACAGTATGGAGACACTGCAGCCATATGTAGCATAGAGCCAAGGCAGCCATTTAGGGTATAGAGCCTTAGCAGTCATTTAAAGTACTGAGTCAAGGTAGTTTTACACAGTAAAGAGCTACAGCAGCCACACATAGAGCCATGGCAACCACTTGAAGTATTGAGCCATGGCAAACATTTACAGTGTACCAACCACTTGAAGTATAGAGCCATGGTTGTCACAAGTGACAGTGCCAAAATCAAAGCATAGCAATACTATTCAATATTTGTATAAAAATTTTACCTGTAAAAACACTTGGCACCTTGGACATAAAACTTTTTACTGTTCTAACAGGAACACCAGTGGCCTCATCCTGCATTCGGTCCACAATTCCCTCCATCTGAAATATAAATTTAATATCATATATATGTACATGTATATATACAAGTATCATTCTCTTTTTTTATTCTTTTTATTTTCTTGGAGATTTTTATTTGTTTTGCTTAGTTTTACTGTGCACTAACACAGTACATGTATAGGTCAAATGGCGCAAAAACAGAAAAAAATATTTTAGTTAACCTCTGGTGTTAAAAAGAAACTTAAGGCAACAGCAAGGGTCAAAAACACCTCACCTGCTGGAGCTAAGAGATGCATAGACTCCAGTCACAACACATTTAGTTGCCCTTAACGATCATGCAGGGTTAAACTGTGGCTACAATTCTGATGCTTCAACCCTAAAAGACAACACCTCCGCCAAAAAGGACATTCTTGAGAGAATTAAATGATTCTGTTGTAATATCGTTACAAAAGGATTTAGGACAACTTATTTCAAGCATATCTCTTTTACCATAGGAAATATAAATTAAGTGTTAAGCCTTTAATTATTTGTTCATTACTATGACTTCATGATAATGTAATTTTGAAATTTGACAATATATATAAATTTTTGGCAGATTGTTGCCTTTATTAACTGGTTATTAGATTTTTTCTATAATTTGTCTTTTATAATAAAATTTGCTATTTTGTCGACTTCTTATAATCAAGGAGGTGACTTGTGTTTACTTTAAAAAAAGTCAACCAAGAATCTTGAATAGAAAATACTTAAAGTTTATTCAACCCACAAAAAATACTAAAATCACAAAAAAAATCACCTAAACACTTGGCTGGGTATTGATCTTGCCCATATAAAGTTTGGCTTAAATCCAATCTGCAGTTTTGGAAAGTATTTCTCAGCAAACTTAATCAACAAAAAATTTCAAAAGGTCTTACTTCAAACACAATTCATTTTATTGGAAAATGCTGGCAATAAAATCAGTCCGTGACAACAGCATTTATTCATTTCTAATCTTTTACAGTGCCAAACCTTCTCAAATTCATGAAAAAAACAGAAAAATGCTGGCTTTATCCTAGTTTAACTACAAAACTATTGTTACTGTGTGTAAAAAAATAGATACATAACATGCTGTGGCGGTGAGGACAATATGCAAATTTATTTTACACTATTTTTGCAAAGTTTAGTTGAAACTTATATCAAGTTATTCTTGCAGAGTTATTGCTGAAACCTATCAGAAATTTACAGAAACTAGAAATGTGTCATCATGCCACGGATGCCCCCGCAATAATTACAGCCAAAATTTCAGATGTTATAATATTTAGTTCCAAATTTGTTTGCACAAATTTTTTTTTTCATTTAAAGTTCAAAGCCCTTAAAACTTTTAAATGCTAACACAAACCATTTTTATACAATGTTCAAGGCACTGAAATTATTCAGTCTTAACCTTTTGAAAATAGCATGCCAAAATAATGGCTACATACATTTCAACAAAAGTATGAGTGCTGAAACTGAAAGTTCAAAATTTTTCCAACATTCAGGAAAGATAAGTTTGTCCAAAATCATTGAACCACGACCAAATTTAAACTTAAACTGCTTATTCCTAAGATGTATCTATATTATTTTCAAAGTGAAAGGGACATAACTCTGCCAAAATATCATCGAACCATGACCAAATTTAAACTTAAACTGCTTATTCCTAAGATGTATCTATATTATTTTCAAAGTGAAAGGGACATAACTCTGCCAAAATATCATCGAACCATGACCTAATTTGAACTTGACCTGCACTTTCCTTTGACATATCCATATGTCAAATTGGAGTTGAATATGTAACACTGTTGGGTAGATAATGAACAGAAACTGTAAATTTCATATTATTTTCAAAGTGAAAGGGGCATTACTCTGCCAAAAATCATTGAACCATGACCAAATTCGAACTTGGCCTGGGTATTCCAAAAACATATCCATATGTCAAATTTGAGTTGAATGTGTAATACTGTTGGGGAGATAATAAACGGAAACTGAAAATTTCATATTATTTTCAAAGTGAAAGGGGCATAACTCTGCCAAAAATATTGAAACATGACCAAATTTGAACTTGGCCTGCGCATTCCTGTGACGTTTCCATATGTCAAATTTGAGTTGAATGTGTTGTATCGTTGGGGAGATAATGAATGGAAACTGAAAATTTCATATTATTATCAAAGTAAAAGGGGCATAACTCTACCAAAAATCATCGAACCATGACCAAATTCAAACTTGACCTGTATTTTCTCATGACATATCCATATGTCAAGTTTGAGTTGAATGTGTTGTACTGTTTGGGAGATAATGAACGGAAACTGAAAATTTCATATTATTTTCAAAGTAAAAGGGGCATAACTCTGCCAAAAATCATTGAACCATAACCAAATTCAAACTTGACCTGTATTTTCTCATGACATATCCATATTTGAAGTTTGAGTTGAATGTGGGAGATAATGAGCGGAAACTGAAAATTTCATATTATTTTCAAAGTAAAAGGGGCATAACTCTGCCAAAAATCATCGAACCATGACCAAATTCAAAGTTGACCTGTATTTTCTTAGGACATATCCATTATGTCAAATTTGAGTTGAATGTGTGAAACCGTTACTAAGATAATGAACGGAAACTGATGATGACGGAATGACAGAATGATGGAAGGACAGAATGACGGAAGGACGGAACAGGGTAACACTATATGCCCCGGCCATTATATGGCAGGGGCATAAAAAGAATTATATTCAATTATGGGTAACTTTTTACAAATTTATTTTAGTTCGATTGTGTTGAAACCCATAAGCTTATTGAAAAACTCTTGAAACGGTTCCTGGAACCAACCAGTACTAAGCAATGAATGTAAAGTTTCTTGCTCAAGGAAACAATGGCTTGCCTCTGATGGGGTTTGAACCCACGCAGCCAGCAATCCTTAGATTGCTAGTACAACATGTTAACCACTCGGCCACACCACCACTATGGCTTACCATCATAAAAATATAACTGCAATGTTGTAACAAGAAAACAAAATAGGAATGCTTCAATTGTTAAAACTTATTCCTCTATGAAAGCTAGGGAAAAAATCATCAAATAAATCTAACATGTATATAGAGGATATTGAATGAGTGTAAGTTCAATACTGAATTTATTGCACGAGTTGAATAAAATTATATTATGCGAGCCTCTGGCGAGCATAATATTATTTTATTCAACGAGTGTAATAAATTCAGTAATAAACTTACACGAATTTAATATTCTATTTATCATATGCCCAAAATAAAGACCGTTTAAAGTGAAATAAGAGTCATTTTTCATTGACGCGCCTATAATATAACGCTAACATTTAGCGCGTCTTTACACTATGTTTGTATAACGCTAATGACGTCACGTCAAAATATATGCACGGCCGTGCAATACCATATTTACGGAGTCGCAAAATCGGCACGGGTGTGTGATAAGTCAATATATTGCCTTTATCTTATGACACAAAGAAAAACATATTCTCCAGGATGAAGCTAACAATCAATCAACATAACTCTTCTTCAAACTTTAAAACTGAGCTGGGTTTGATTTACAGTGTAACTGCCAAAATAAGTAAACCAACTGTTTATGTAGACAGCACATTTCATACCACATCAATACAAATACGAGTAGATAGTAAAGTCTATGAAAAGAACTTGTAAGCAGGGAAGTTAAGATTTTTACATAATTTCAACTGGTTTTAATGGAATTTTGATGTATCATATTTAAAATTAAAAGTACCCCAGGATGATGATTGATAAATTTCTTCCCTCTTGTATATTATTCAAATTACAATGAGATCTGTCTCCTCTGTAGACTTCAGGGTTATTGTTCCTTAATCAATACAATACCCATCCTAATAGTATGGTCAATGTTAAGTCACTGTTTCAGTATGTTAGAGTATCTGATCTGATATCAAAATATCACCTATTCCATACTAATATCATGTATGGTCAATGTTAAGCTACTGTTTCAGTATGTTAGAGTATCTGATCTGATATCAAAATATCATCTTTTCCATACTGATATCAAGTTTTTGGTGAAATAGTATTATCATTAAGCTAATATCATTGTTGCCCTTTCTATAAATTTAGGCCGATTTCAATGTTCATGCCAATGTTGAACTAAAACCATTGTCTCCTATCAAGTGAACTCAGTAAAAATTATGCATAGCTATATTATCATCCACCGCCCATATCAATTTCAGATCTCATCATTATATTAAAGCTTCACGCCTCCAGATGAGCAAAAAATATTTCAATAAAATCAAACCTGAGGAAAATGTAATAAGATTTTAGGAAAGGTAAAAAGATGCAAGATTCTTGCAATAATTTACATGTTTTATGCGATTAATGAAATAGTTTTCAGTATGTATAAGCATATTTCTACTGCGTTACTAACGCAGTAAAGGCTATTTCCAAATATTTTGATCTCATATTGGTAATTTGCATGGGTTGTGAGTGCTGTTTGTAATGTGTAAATTGCTCACAGCATTTTACTCATACAAACATTTTCAAAATTTTCATGAATCTGGAGGCATGCTGCTTTAAGAGTAACATATGAAATTAAGAACAGCTAGTTATACTTTCTCCATTTCCTTTTTTTTTCCCTGAATTGATATATCAAAAGTAACATATCTATTCAAGTATATCAAACATTTCAAATATTTTGGTACAAGTCTTACTTTTAAATTCTATTAAGAATACAATAACTTCAATATGTACACAAAGTGACATTTCTGTAAGTTAGAGAATAAATTCATTAGGTTAAAAATCCCTATATCCATAATATTGATGACAAATAATTATACTGTAAATAATTACCAAGTAAATTGCAGGAGTCTGTAATACTTTCAGTAAACAATAGCAGCTCTTATTATGTACATGAGATAGAGGGTTTGGTAAGAGATCATGTTCTGACAACAAATGAAGAGCTAATTTAATCAGTATAGTACATGACATGGACACAAATCTTCCTGTTTGGTGTACATTGTACTTCATTGTGTCAATACATGTACCACATTACTT